CATATCCCGTCCGGTATGGGCGCCAAAACCATAAACCTCAATACCCCGTTCGATATGAGGGTGAAACGAGCTGTCCTCATACCCCGTCTGGTATGGGCACCAAAACACATAAGGTCTCCAAACCCCGTCCGATATGAGAGACCACGTTTCCGGTAAGGTTCCCTACGGACCTGGTCCGTCCACCATCTCCCAGGATATCTAGTCAGGCTGTCCACATTATCCATTTATCAATTTACATAACCCTTTTTTTCCTATTTTCCTTGGTCTCAATTATCCAATCATACACAAATACGTAAACTAGTAATTGACACCAAACAAGACAACACAAAATTGGATTCACCATAATTCAAACCATAATAAAAGAAACCATGATTCATGCATACGTAACCCTAAAATAAATACATCACAAACCATACTGCATTTAAAGCTAAAAATTAAATCAAAAAATAACTGACCAACAAATACACCAGATTCGGGCTCCATTAGCAACCTTAAGCAATTATACACATCTATTAATTTATGAAATGTCGTTTTATCATTTATTGAGCTTTAATACCGTGATAGGAAATGGTATGAGAGATATTTACTTTTTAGAGTTTAAAATCGGCTCTACAGTGCGCCTACGGGCTGTTCCTAAATTCTCTGAATTTTTTCTGAGAAACTGAAACGCACTACCGGTACTTGCACTTGTCCCAGAAAATCCCAAATCAGACCTAAAGCCCCTTTCGACCAATATCAAAATTCTGGCACGGCGGCTCCACCATGCTCCGGCGACGGCACCCCTGCCCGCGACGGCGATCAGCCTCGGGTTGGTTGTTTTCGGTCGTTTTTGGCCGAATTCGGCCAAACTTGCATTGGTTCTTGCGATAAAACAACCCTAGGGCCATCGGTGGGCCAAAAAATCACGAAAAATTGAGACTTACCTGTGGCAGTGCTCTCGGGTGCGGCGGCTTCTCTGGCGCGAGTCGCGGTTTGATGTTTTACTCCGATCAACCTATAGAGAAAAGGACGATGATCACAGTGGTGTAAAAATTGCATCGAACGGGAGCCGGAAAGGGGCTCATCGGAGGCAAAAACTGAGAGAAGCCGCGGTGGTGCCGCTGGACTTCGGCAGTGTTTTCCGGCCGATTGGCCGGTGATTTGGCTCCGATTTGGCCATAGGCGAATTCAACATCGAAAAACGAGCCAATGAGAGAAATTTTACCTCGTTTGGCGGTCGAAAAACCCTCCAGTGCGGTGGGGGGTGGCGGCGGCCGGCTCCTCCGGCGTCTGATTCTTCTTCTCCGACGAGGCACTGGCGGCTAGGGTTTAGGGTCGGGTGTGGGTGAGGTTATTTATAACCTCCCCCTTTTAATCTCAACCGTCCATCACGTTTTAATCTGGACCGTCCGATCGCGATTAAAATGGGAATAAATCTGGGTTGTCCATCGCGATGCTATCTGGGCCGTCCGTGCTTGATTCGATTTGGACCATCCGCGTGCGTGAGATCTGGACCATCCGCACGCGTGAGATCTGGACTGTTCGATCGAGTGCACGCGGATCGCTCACGTGGCTCTGTCCCTGTGGTCTTCCGCGTCAGCTTCCTTGCCACGTAACGTGTTCTGGTTGGCCGGGGCCGCTGACTAGGCTGCTAACGTGGCTCCTGACGTGGCGCAACTTTCTTAAATTGAGTTTTGACCCCCAGTTTCCTATTTTCTTTTCAAAAACACCCACAGAATCTAAATTTTTACCTTTTTTTTCCAAAATCCCAAAAATAATTTTACCATATTTTATCATTATTATTAATTTTATTTCTATTAAATTAAATTAAATTAAGTTAAACACATAATTATTACAAAATAAATTAACCATAAAATAAAATAAAATAAAATTCATAAAAAAAAGTTCCAATATTCAAAAATAAAAAATTTATTTTTGGGGTGTTACAACTCTCCCCCCTTAAAAAAATTTGGTCCCCCAAATTTGCCTCTTGCTCTTGATCGAACAAATGGGGATACTGGGCTCTAAAGTCTGATTCTAGCTCCCAGGTAGCCTCCTTTGGCGTGTGGTCCTGTCACACGACCTTTATAAATGATATTTCTCGGTTGCGGAGTATCCTACTCTTTCGGTCTGTGATACCGACTGGTACTTCCTCATATGATAAGTCCTCTTAGAGTGTAAGCGGTTCATGAGCCAAGACATGAGAGGGGTCCGAGTTGTACTTACGTAGCATGGATACGTGGAACACATTGTGGACCTTGGAGAGCTCTGGAGGCAGTGCTAGTCTGTAAGCAGCAGTACCAATCTTGTCTAAGATTTCAAAAGGCACAATAAATCGGGGGTTCAGTTTTCCCCTCTTGCCGAACCTACTAATTCCCTTAAAATGAGTGACCTTAAGAAACACCTGGTCGCCTTTCTCAAATGTTAGATCTCTCCTCCGGGTATCTGAAAACTCTTATGTCTACTCTGAGCTGTCTGAATGTTCTTTCTGATTTTAACTATTTTGGACGTGGTCTCCTCTACCAACTCCGGGCCGAACAATCTTCTATCGCCTACTTCTTCCCAACAAATCGGTGATTTGCATGGGCACCCATATAACGCCTCATACGGAGCCATGCTGATGCTCGCTTGGTAGCTGTTGTTGTAGGCAAACTCTATCAGGGGCAGATGGTCGTCCCAATGGCCCCCAGAGTCAAAGACACAAGTTCGGAGCATATCCTCAAGTGTACGAATTGTCCATCCATCTGATGATGGAAGGCAGTACTAAGTGACAGTTTTGTTCCCATAGCTTGATGAAAGCTACTCCAAAATTGAGAAGTGAACCTAAAGTCCCTGTCGGATACTACTGTCACTGGAACTCCATGCAATCTGACTATTTTCCGGATGTACATTCTTGCCAACTTGTTCAATGGATCGATCATCCTGATGGCTAAGAAGTGGGAAGACTTGGTAAGTCGGTCAACAATCACATTATCTCACTGCCACAGAAGTAAAGATCGGTAGAAAACAAAAACAACCAATGGAGCATAATTTATAATAAATTCATTTATTAACATAAAAACCTTTACTGTCCACTTACCTTGATGAGATTCATGAAAATAACATATGAAAACAATATTGGCCGAAAGGGGCTCTAGGTCTGATTTGGGATTTTTGGGACACGTGCAGGTACCAGTAATGCGTTTCAGTTTTTCAGAGAAGATTCAAAGAATTTAGGAACAGTCTGTAGGCGCACCGTAGAGTCGATCAGACCCCGAAACAAGTAAGGATCTCTCACCCTATCTCCTATCACGACATTAAAGCTTAATAAATAATTAAATGGTATTTTGTGACTTTATAGATATGTATAATTGATTGAGGTTGCCAATGGAGCCCAAATCTGATACATTGTTGGTCAATTGTTCTTTGATCTAATTTTCAGTATTAAATGCAGTATGATATTTAATGTATTTATTTTATGGTCTCGTATACATGAATCATGGTTTCTTTTATTATGGTTTGTATTATGGTCAACCCGATACTGTGTTGTCTTATTTGGTGTCAATTATTGGTTTACATGTTTGTGTATGATTGAATGATTGAGACCAAGGAAAAGGGCAAAAAGGTTATGTGAATTGATAAATGGATAATGTGGACAGCCTGACTAGATATCCTGGGAGATAGTGGACGGACTGGGTCCGTAGGGAACCCTACCGGGAATGTGGTCTCTCATACAGGACGGGGTATGGAAACCTTATGTGTTTTGGCGCCCATACCGAATGGGATATGGAGACGACCCGTTTCACCTTCATACCGGACGGGGTATTGAGGTTTATGGTTTTGGCGCCCATACCGGACATGGTATGGGGACGGCCTTGGAATCAGGTTATTAATGTTAATGGTTCACATGTAGCGAGGTCCCCCTATAGATCCCCATAAATACTAGTAGGCTGGTAAAAGAGGAAATTTATTGTCTGATTATTGAAGTGCAAGAGTATGACTGGTGTTCTGTTACAAAGTCGATATGATTTTATTATGATTATAATGTTATTGTTTTCATATGTTATTTTCATGAATCTCATCGAGGTAAGTGGACAGTAATGGTTTTTATGTTAATAAATGAATTTATTATAAATTATGCTCCATTGGTTGTTTTTATTTTCTACTGACCTTTACTTCTGTGGCAGTGAGATAGTGTGATGTCTTTACCAGGGTAGTGTAGCTCATTCCTTACTTAACCATTTCAGATCAGGAAAACGTGATTCTCGAGCCCGTTCTGCAGGAAGACGACGAGTTAGACGCCTAAAGACTTTATAGTTCAATTTATAGTTTTATTTCGAATATCTCTTTTAATTAGTTTATTCTTTCATATGTTGAATACAGTTTTTGTTATTGTGTAAAGGATGTTAATCAAAATTTTTATTACGCTTCCGCATTTAAGATTTTTAATACATACATTTTCATTTAAATTCCGGGGCCGTTACAATTTATATATTCGTTGGATCCCTTTATTTATTACTATAATTTTAATTTAAAATCTATAAA